GGGTCTTTTCACGTTGGTTCGTGATGGCGGGTGACATAGCGAGGTCGCTTGGTGGCATGGGCAACGGAAGCATCGTTAACTCTTTAACTGCCTTAACTCAACAAAACTTCGAAAAAACTTCGATCGAAGTTATGGAGGACTTGCGAGAAGGACAGTTCTCAGAAACAGGACTCACGAGAAGGATTTTCTCGCCGTACCCCTCCACATTTAGGTGGGAGGACTTGTGTGGTCTGTCACATGCGATTTCGTACTTGAAGCTAGCTAGAATCACTGGTGGGGAGTACTCGCAGCTAGAGTTGGATGGGTTACTCTCCCCACGGCCCTCCAGACAGGCTTTTTTGGGGGCTGAACCTTCGTTATTCCTATGTAGCCCTTGTCTGTGCCCGCCAGACGAGCGCGACGGCCCCGAGGCGCGCCTGGCTCGAGAGACCCCTACGTTTGCCTGAACACCACAGCAGCTGGCATTGTGGCGACTGCTTCCTGATTCCGCCATCAGAACTAGTACATCGCTTTAATTGGCTGAAAATTGATTCTGGTTTTATTAGTTTTGATTGGCTATAATTGAAGGATAAATCAACGATGATTCGGCGGCCACAGTTGGATGCACGGCAAGGTTGCCACACTTTTCGATTCGGTTGCTCGTAGGTAGGTCATCCATCACAAGGAGCCGCGGTCGGTCGACGATGATTCATCGTGGAGTAGATCACAGATCGACAAATATGCCCAGCACTCCTTGCACCAACACGTCTTGCTTCATCAAGACTCCTCACTCGCACGATGAACGGTACGCGATCATCGACGAGGCCTCAATTTCGAACACGAATGACCCCATCGTCTGTAGCTGGCGCGAACCCAAGATCCTGAACACGATCTTGGACCATGTTGGCAACACTCCTTTGGTCCGCATCAACAAGGTACGCTCATGGCAAACCTCGAATTCCCGCTCCTACCTTCAACTCGTTGGCGTTAGATCGCGGAAAAGGCCGGCCTCAAGTGCGAATTGCTCGCCAAGTGTGAATTCTTCAACGCGGGTGGGTCTGTGAAAGATCGCATTGGCAAGCGCATGATCGAAGACGCCATGGCCTCGGGTCGTATCAAGCCTGGTATGTAATTAGCACTCCGTATTCACCGAATTCGAAATGACTGGTGGAATGCAGGTGACACGCTGATTGAACCTACGTCGGGCAACACTGGCATCGGTCTTGCCTTGGCCGCTGCTATCTACGGCTTCCGCATGATCATCACCCTCCCCGAGAAGATGTCCCAAGAAAAAGTCGACGTGCTCAAGGCGTTGGGTGCCGAAATCATCCGCACACCTACCGAAGCCGCGTGGGACTCGCCGGAATCGCACATTGGGGTTGCGAACCGTTTGAACAAAGAAATCAAAAACTCGCATATTTTGGATCAAGTACGTCCACTGCCACAGTGTTCGCAGCGTGCGCTGTGACCCTTTCAACGTGTCTCTATCCGAGTGCATTTAGTTCCGTCCGGACAGATGTCGCCATGTCGCGTGCTCCGTTGTTGGCGCATGCATTCGGCATTGTGTCATTCCAATTCGATTGACGTCTTGCTTTGCATTGCCGGCGTCGTGACGTCGCCGATACTGATTTGCATTGTGCATCCGCCGTCGATGTGTTGCCTCATGTCCATCCATCTCATGAGTCTCTGTCTAGTACACGAACCCGTCCAACCCGTTGGCGCATTACGACCAAACGGCCGAAGAAATCTTGGAATCGTGCGGCGGCCATGTCGACATGCTTGTAATTTCGGCGGGCACGGGCGGCACCATCACCGGCACGGCCAAGAAGATCAAGGAAAAGTGCCCATCAGTCATTGTCGTCGGTGTCGACCCGAAGGGGTCGATCTTGGCCTTGCCCGACTCGCTCAACGACGAAAACGTATGTCCTTCACGCTGAAGGGAATACGTTCATATAACAGTTGCTTGTCCAATGCGGTAGCGCTTGAAGTCGTACCAAGTCGAAGGCATCGGGTACGATTTCATCCCGGACGTGCTTCACCGCGACGTCGTCGACAAGTGGATCAAATCCAACGACCAAGACTCGTTCGTGATGGCGCGCCGCATGATCCGCGAAGAAGGGCTCCTCTGCGGTGGTTCGTGTGGTTCGGCCATGTCGGCCGCTGTGATTGCCGCTAAGGACCTCAAGGCCGGCCAAAAGTGCGTCGTCATTTTGCCCGATTCGACGCGCAACTACATGACCAAGGTTCAAAGTCTACTTGTGTCGAGAGGAAGATCTCATGAGATACATGCTCTCCCTTGTAGTTCTTGTCGGACGACTGGATGTACGACCACGGATACGTCCAAAACTTGGACAAGAAGCCCGCCAACCAAGCGTGGTGGGCGAAGAAGGTCGTGTCGGAGCTCCCACTCAACGTCCCGTACACGATCACGTCGTCGCTGTCGTGCAAGGAAGCCGTCGACATCTTGAAGCGTGAAGGGTTTGACAACCTTCCTGTTGTCGACGAGCAAAACGCGATCGTGGGTGTGATCTCGGAAGGCAACTTGACGGCGCAATTGCTCCCCGGCCGCATCTTGCCGAGCGACCCCGTCTCGAAGGCCATGTACAAGCAGTTCAAGAAGGTCAACACCCACACGACGTTGTCCGAGTTGAGCCGCATCTTCGACAAGGACCACTTTGCGTTGGTCGTGACGGAACAGCGCTGCTTCTCCGCCGGTGGCGTCGTTGAAACCAAGAGCGTCATCTTTGGTGTTGTCACCCGCATCGACTTGTTGACATTCATCACGAATCAAGAGTAAACTCGCGAATCTGACGTGTTCCATTTTGTCTTCCATGTCGAACACGCCAGATGGGAGCTATGAAAGTCGAAGGAAGGGCTCTCCGTCGGACCATCGTGGCCCATGCAACCCCCATCTCCACTTGGCAGTCCGCTTTCGACCTGGTCCATGGAGGAGCCGCCCCCCAACCACACCCGTTCTTGCTTGTACCAAAGAGACATTGATGAAATATGCATGGGATTTCCCTACCAACAACAGCAAGTCACACGGTGCGTTTTTGATCTGGCTCACGCGTGGAGCAAGGTATGCCGAGGGAGCACCACAACGGCATCCTTCTACGCGAGCAATCGGCAAGCGAGTCGGGCGCTTCAGTGGGTGCGGCGGTCACACCTTTAAAGTCAGGTGAGTTCGCTCGCATGATGGGCAAAGGCTCGAAAAGCGTACCAGCGAAGTGGAGGACCAGGACGGGGCTTGATGCGCTATTGAAGATAATCACACTAGACAAGTGCGGGTAATAGTGTGGCAATGGAGCCGAACGTTTAAAGTTCCGGGGAAGTGTCTGCTTTCCTCCAATTTTACTGCATGTTGCTTGGACAGTTTGAAGCAACTGACCGAGTCAAGTTGCATCCCGCGACTCAACTACTAGAATCAGCCATTGGTGCACGACGATGGAAAGAAGAGGCAGCAGCCACATGAGCTGCAAAAGCGTTGGATGGGATGTGTGGAGGGGGCAGGAAGACGGCGACGCCGTCTCGATTGATTTGGAGACGAACGATTCGTTTGGATGCCGGGCTTGCATCCACTCTTGGATCGATGGACATGGTGGAGTGTCGTCAACTGCCGTGGCGCCAAAGAGCGAAGATTCTAGTGGTGTAGGGTGGTTCGGATGAATGAGAGGAGGCGCACTCTTCATGTGGAAGTGGCCATCGTGGAATGGGACCAGGTCGGCGCTGTTGGTTGTATGGCTACCTGTGGTGGAAGTCGACATTTCATGGAGTGCCGAGGCGCTCTTCAGACCCTTGGCTGTAAAAGAGGCGTCGCACACGCTGTGGGACTCTACCAGCGCCAAAAAGCATGGCCCACAAGCATTTTTGAATAGCTCTTCCCGAGTCGACCACGACGGGACACACTCGAGCAACGAGTGGCATGGCAGGCGGTGCCCTGCTGCACCAGCTACCTCGCGGCGCGCCCAATCACGGATTGGATGGGGTTCTCGGAAGATGCTCATGGAAACGTTCACGACACCACCGCATCCATCGAGGAGGTGGCATGACAGAGAATGTGTGCCTTCCTTTGCCAGTCGATGCTCGGACAAGTTGAGATCAAAGTGGCCCAGGTCACGTTTCATCAATCGTTTGGACCCCACCAGCTGCACATGAATGCGCAAGTGCGTCTTGGTGCTGACGTCAAAGGCAAACGTCGCGTCTTCCCATGCTGGGTCGGTTGTACTTCCCATGCACGACTCGCTTTTAAAGGACCGGCCTCCAGCCGTGACTACCGCGTGGACATTGCGCACGGATGGCCCCGGTGCGAGCGACGCGCTGTGCAGCGTTAGCACGAGCTTGGTAGGATGGCTTGAAGGGAGCAGGTTGAAGAAGTTGTGGATGGATCCGTCGCCGCAATGTGTGATGCCTCGACAGATTTACTGATATTGTCGAAATAAAACGTTGTACGTACAAACTCACCAAACAATCGTTATACTTGAAGTAATTATGACTATTTTAACTGGTATTTTTTTTAATGGGTTCTGGACCATTTCATCGTGGGTTTATCGAATAAAAACATGTTTATAACATGAATACTACTACTTGCACATGCGTTTCCACACCACGCTGTGTCTGACCCACCAAACGCGCGACACCGTGGAATCCACTGGGCATTTCATGGGAAGGCTCTTCCCTGGGGCGATGTGAGTTCCCGCCGCTTGCACACGTGTACCAAAGCGACGTCTAGCCGCGCTGATTCGGGCTTCACAGGGTCACGACGCAACACATTGGTTCTTCGGTCGCTGTGGACGGCGCCACGCAGGAAGGCATGATGTCCATGCGCGGACGCATGTGGAGTGGACCCCACCGTCCGCACCTCGATTCCATTGGATGATCAAGATTACCATTGCTGACTAGCCATGATCCTGAACAGCCATGAACTGTCTAACAACCCGATCTTCTACTTTCTCCAAGTTAAATGTCTTACGGAATCGAATGGACTGCATTACTTGACCTGCTTCAGCCCTTTGTCCTTAAGTGCATCGAGCATTTCCTAATTGATGCGTCATGCATGGACAAAACAAGATGAATCGACTAAGATACCTTGGCCGTGCACCATGCATTGGTCTTTAGTTTCGAAAACACCAACTCATCTACGCAGCACCACGACATCTCCATCAGCCGACACCACGTCAGGAAGAACGTAACTTTACCGTTCAAGTAGACCTCGAAGGCGCCCGTCTTGACTAAGTACTTTGAAAATCCGCCAAGTGCCCCTGCCGCCAGCAACGTCACCCCTCGGTAAGTTCGCAAGCATGACAGAACTTCAAGGCCATGTGGAATAGGCACAACTTGCACAATATGTTCGCCGGCGAGGAGGAATGCCATCACGAGAAACGGAAGGATGCCGCACACCAGCGACAACAACGCCCTCCACTGCGGCAGCGTGTAGATGCGGCTGTCGATGTGGCCATCCATATGAGGAAATGCCTTCTTCACTGTGAAAGCCAGGTCCCGCGCATGATTGGCATACTCCGAGTGGGCGCAAAATTCGACGCGGATACGGTCGTTCTGTGTCGAGCCACCTGTGCTTTGGGTCGTCGTGGGGGTGGCGGTCGAGTTCTTGGCGTCCTTTCTGGCCATGATGGTGTTGCCGTCGTGTGTTTTGAACAATGACCGAGGGATCCTCCATCGATTCCATCGAGATTCGATGTAGAATTTTTTACTTGAACAATTAATACATGACGCATAGGGCGAATCCAGGCACTTCAAGAGGAACCACCGCAATGAACCCACTGATGGTGGCGAAGTCATCCTTGACAAAACGTGAGTGAGACTTAGTAGGAATTCGCACTTGAAGGAAATATCCTGGCCAAGTGAAGAGAAACGGTTTTACCTAAGTGCGAGTCACATGAATGTTCTATTCATGTTTTGTCAAAATGGTCTCAGGTTTTGGCAAACTTCCTAGTCCATATACTTTGCAGGATTATGTATCTGGTCTCGTTGACAGTGAACCCGGCGCTTTGGACTGTGACGTCCATCAGACCAAATTGGCAGCGCCACGCCCCTTGAGTTGAGATATTGCGACTGCACGCTTCTGACTAGCTGAGCACAGAGGACTCACGGGGGGATATTCCACATGTTTCAACTCGACAGATTCCCACGACGAGAGCACTGTGCAGTCTCCTCGACGAGAAGAAAAGACCGTGGAGCTCAACAGGACGCTCACACATATACTTCCTCCATGGTGCCGACATCGAATGCATCCCACCATTGCAGGGCTGCCCATCGTGCCGAAGCATGTTGTCATGGGTCGATGGCACCGTGGTGGTAAAAAGAACTTGACACATTTGTCCATGAGGCACAGGCCGTTCGATTTCGTATTCACAAAGACGAGACCGCTCGGTGTTCGTGGCGTGCTGGTTTCGTCCGCGCAAACCAACTGCTCGACCTGTGGGCATTTATGTGATGTCGTGTGCGCTGCCAAGTTGTGGAGATCGATTTTGTAGGAATGGCTCTGGTGATCCAACGCGCATGTACTTCTTGTTCGCATGCAGGCCATCCACGGTTCATCACCGCGGCTGCGTCTCCAAGCCTGTCTATATCAACGACGCCATCGCATGGGAATTGCCAGCGAATGCAGATGTAGAGAATGTGAGTGTCAAATGAAATGGTCTCTATGTCAGGGTTTCGATCATCTCGACTGAGCGGGTGATTACGTGCTCTGATCAATAGTCCGAACTGTATTCTTTCCGCTGCCTACTCGTGCATGCCTGTTGGTACACACACCACTCGGGCAACCCCCATCGCCGAGTGGCTGCACCAAATGAAAGTGCATGCCGGCAGAGCCGTCGCATGTCGAAGCTTGCTCCATCGCGGCCACCCAATTTACATGGTTCGTGGCGGCAACTTCATTCAGTCGACACATCGACCCAGAGTGAACTAATTCGTCTTGAGCAACATGGCATTCGCCGCGCTATTCCTTGCCCTTTTTCAAACCCTTGGCGACGAGAAACCCGACGACTTCCTAGACACGCAAGCAGTGAGCATGATGCGGTCGATTCTTTCGGTGGTGGCAATACCGCCGTTGTAGGAGCACGATGGGATTCCAGTTTGGAGAAGATACGCTTGTCTACACCAACGATGAAGGAAGACGTTATTGCGGATGGATATGCACCATTTAGGTAGACTTCAAAAGCGCCCGACGACGACAGGTTCTGCGAGATGACGCCGATAGCCATGAACACCATGGTGGCGATAAACCGATGTTCCTTCAACGCATCAAACAACGCCGGGCCAAACGGAACGCCGAGGGTAATGAAGAAGAACTCGCCAAATAGTACAAGGGTAAGCCCGATCCATCGTAACAAACTCAGGGTCGTTGCCACAGTAGAAACCTGGCCCGAGGGTGTGTAGACCTTGCCTTGAATGCGGCCAGCAAGTTGGGGGAAGATCGATTCCAGGGATTTCGCCAATTCCTGGAATCGATCGGCGTAACCTCACGATGAGCAGTACTCAACCCGCACGACGTCTTTCGTCGGAGGTGCATTCGCGTCGGCCATGATGAGAGAAATGTAGTGGATTTGTGAGTCGTAGAATTTTTTGTATAAATTGCGTAGTAATTGTCGTTTGGCGTGAAAAAAATATCGAAAGCTCAGGTTATAGTTTAATGTGAACTTTTGTCGTCATTCTTTGAAATGCTACATTATATTTTGTGAAACCCAAATATTTTTGTCATGATCTCTGTTTCGACAAATTTTACACAAGCCCTTCATGGCACCACGGCACTACCATTCCACGGGAAGGTCAAGCGCTACGGTGTATAGCTGGCATAGCCCAGAGGAGAGCGCGACTACCCCCGTAGCACGCTCGCCGTGGCCGCCAACTTACTCGCGTCGCATCACATGCACTTCATGTTCCAAGACACACAGTCACAAGGCGTGATTGTTGTGTGTCCTTTCATTCCGAGTGCACGTGTTGACCAGTGCGTGAAATATGTCTGTGCCAGCAGCACTTGGAAGCACCTTCAAGATCGATTCCTAATGCCTGGACAATCCCTTGGCGCTCAAAAGCTGGACGAGTTCCTGCATGGATGGCCACCGATTCGCCTGTATCTTGGAAAAGATGAGCTCGTCTACAGCCACAGAGGAGGTCAAGTTATGCACGATGGCAGGTCGTAACGTACCGTTGTAGAACACCTCAAACGCACCCGTCGTCAGCATCGATTGCGACACGGATCCGAGGACCATGAGCACACCAAACGCAACAAACTTGTTTTCGCGCATTTGGGTGAACAGGTAAAAGTCCGCGGGTAGGCTCAGAGCCGACAAGATGTGCTCCCCAAAGAGGAGGAGAGCAAAGCCTGCCATTTGGATATACCCGATGCAGGCGGCAACGTTCTGTTTCCAGACGGGGGCTAGGTGGTACGCGCCTTCGACGCGACCGATGAGGTGGGGGTAGTTGGTTTCGAGGTGCTTGGCCACTTCGCGGTAGTTGTTGGCGTACCCTCAGGACTGGCAAAACTCGATGCGGACCTTGTCATCCACGAAGCTTGTGACTTTCTTTTGTTTCTTTTCTTGGAGCTGCTTCGCGGTCGATGTCGTGACCAGTACGAGCAGGGCCAGCATCAACAGCCAGCGGACCAGACGCGACATGCTTCTTGGTCGTTTTTACGGTGGCGAAGGACCAAACTCACATCCGCTTAATTCTTCGATATCCGGATATGAACTGAACGAGTAACTCCCGTGCAGGCGATTCCACGCTCTGCGATGTCGAGGTGTCGAGTTCTCTGTAACTCAACCGGGCACCTCGGGTCACTTGGCGGTGCTAGCTTCGGACAAGCCCCCCCAGTACACCTCTCTGAGGCAGGATGACGATGGTAAGCAAATACACAGCAGTATAATTGCCCGAAACAAGCACGAACCGAGCTCTCCACTTTTCCGTTTGCAAGTTCGTCAGGATAGAGAATTCCCTCCATGCTGACTCGACTTCCTCATCCCGGTCTGTAAATCACATATGCGAAGGGTTACTTCCTCGTTATGCGCTGTCGACGGCGGCTGCGCCATCGTGGGTGGCTGGCTCGGCATTACATTCTGCACGCTCGGTCCGAGAAGGTGTGTACACAACCAAACAGGTGCAAAAGCGCGTGTTTATGTCAATTTCTTTCAAATTTATGGGGTCATAGATACACTCAGTAAAAATCCTCCGTCTTGCGTGTAAAGATTTGGCTTAAATGCGATGATTGACAGAACAAGCCGAATGTGGTGTCAACCCCACCTTTCTCGTGCAAGCGGCGTTTGATTGGCTGACTGCGAAAGGTCAGTTTCATGCGGTCACAAGACGATCACAAGATATTCAGTGCCGACGATGCCAGCGCTCCGTCAGGACATGACGAACTCCATGAATATCGATACCGCCATCCCAACCCTCCAGCTTTGCACAATGTTCGCGGTTCTCCTTGTGTCGCTTGCGGTTCTGTTCGTTGTGGTACGGTGGATATGGAAGAAGAAGCCGCGCATCACGGACGCGACATGTCGAGGGGAACGATTGCCGCTAAACAATTCATCATCCCCGCATAGCTCGCAGTCCACGCCGAAAGATGACATTTCGATTGTCAAATCTTGCGACACTAAACCAGTCGGAGCAATCGAATGGGTTCGCGCAATTGGCACCACGATCGTAGTCGGCGTTTCCCTTGTCGTGATGTGGTTCTGGTGATCTTGCATGCGCAAGTGGCCATACATCCAATGTATATACCCTCCAGGAACATCATTGCAGCCGCGCCTTCGCCTCACTGCTTTGCTCCGCATGTTGCACCACCGGGACGACGAAATTATTCACAACCCATGCATGTGCGCAGAGCACCTTGCTACGAAATTTGTTCGCGCTCTCACCCCCAAATAATCCATGAATATTGAACTTGTTTGCTTGAGGTGCTTGCACAGCCATTCTCTGTTCCTTGACTCTGTGTTATGAATGCGCCGAGGAAGTTTTGGGCTAGCAACCATTGACAAGCCAGGTCCTGGGAGTTGTCGAGTTGCAAGAATACTGGGTGCGTGAGGTTGGGCCGCCATGCTACATACATGCTGATCAAAGAAGGCGTATCATTTCGCTGGCGGTCGCTTGAAGACAGGATGGCCAAACGATTGCTTTGTACAGGCCGTTCAAAACGTGCGAGGAGGTGGAACGAACGGTGGTGCTTTTTAGACTAGATGCAACTCGCAGATGAATGCAAGGTGCATTATAGATGGTGATACTAGATAAATAACTCATGAAGGGCGCTCATGCAGCACACGCCGTGGGCCACGGGCGGACGATTTCAATGGACAGGTCTTCTGCCAAATGTTCTTCCGGGTTTCGGGGTGGTTCAACTGGAACCATCTCGACAGGCTCATTTGGATCTGCTGTCAATTCTGGCTGTGCGCAGTCCATGACGACTTGCTCGTCGCCTGCTTGGACCTCCTGTGGGCTCTCAACGACGGATGCACATGGTGACTGCTGCTGTGCGAGCTCGACAGACGTACAGCGATGGCGATAGGGGGTCACTGCGCGCTTGACCCACATCTGGGGGGTTCGTTGAGGCGAATGCGTCACTTCGACGGTGCAAGTGAACGGTCGGTACGACGTGAGCTTGGACGTCACCATTGGAAGTACGGGTAGTTGTTGCCCTGCGCGATGTCAAATCGAAAACTGGCGGCGGGCGACTGGCGCCATGGCCCAGGAAATTTGTGCGTGAAAGGAGTTGGGGCTCTCACCCCATACTGTAGTTGCGACACACTACAACTTGCCGTTTTGGTTGGCTCGTTCTCCTGCAGCTGAGTTGAGGTCAGCAAAATGTCCCCTCCCACCTTGGGCGAGGAATTCCAGTTTCTTTTATGGCTTTAGCAGTTTGACGCTCGTTACGATTTTTATGGCCGATATTCCATAATAATACCAAGTTAGAACAACTTGTACCGTGGTTAAAGTTGAATGCAAATCTATAAACGAATTCGTCGTACCACACCAGCACTTGGGGAGGTGAAATTTTCCGACTTCGTACGGGCGCAACGGAGGAACCACCGGCGATTGCTTGAGCGGAGCTCGCGCCGGCGATAAACAATTGCTCTGACCTCACTGAATTTCATGCAAAACGTCATGGATATCCACCAGAACATGAGTTTTGCGTACATTTTCAGGCTGGGCAAGTCTTGTGCGATGCGGTGCTGTGTTGGCCAAATTTCGTTCTGGTCTCTACCTCCAGTTCCCCCAACAAGCGCGTGAGTTCGGGCAAGAGCGTACGGTACCACGAACCGCCTCGCCGTTCGAGAACTTTTTGCAGAAGTATTCAGAATTAAGCGTCGAATTGATACACTTAAAAGCAAACGTGTAAGTTTATGAATGGTACCATGATTTTGACAACGTTGTTGTGGATATGAAATTCGGGCGAAACTATGGCACATGAACACGCCCAATGGTGCATGGCAAGAGCCCCTTGCTGCTGCAAGTCAGAACACCCTGTTCTGTCGAGAACATCCCCACTGCCCTGTCCATCAGGTCGCAGGATGGTCCTGCAACAGTAGGAGGTTTTTTGTGCCTTTTAGAGGCTTTTTCCTCATGTCGTAGTCAGTTGCAGCGAAGGCCACGTCACATCATTAGGATGTCGTGA